TGCACATATGGTACCGTCATTTCGCAGAAGTTCTTGCACCGCCTGCAATAAAATACCAATAGGATGTCTTCCGCATATGGTATTTCCGTACTCCTTTAAATAATTTGTAAATTCCGTTGGATTTAGATTTTCAATAATACTCATACCAGCTCTATCCAATGCTTCAATAGACTGCTGAATATTCCCACAAGCCCGATCATGATAAGTATAACGGAACCGTTGCCCCCAATGACAAAAGTCTGAGGATATCACAAATAGGTTCTGTGGATCTGCCAGATACGATGAAAGCAGTCTTCCGTAAGTGGCTTCCTGTTCAGGACTAAGCGATCCGACTAGTATTGGCACTATGGTAAATTGATCTTTGTAGGTGTCCATAATTTTGGCTATATAAGGTAAGTGCATTTCTATACTGTGTTCATTTTCGTCCGTATCTAAGTCCATCCATTCAAATTGCCCCGACATTTCTAAATCGGCGTTCACTTGATTATCTACGTGAAGATCGGTTAATGGAGTCTTACATTTTTGTGCAATGGACAAAGCGCATCCGGATAGTCGTGCGTGGTGCGACGGTCCCAAAATGAATATTCTTCTAATGGCGACAGGACTGATTTGTCTATACGCATGTCCAGCACAAGCACCGCAATATTGATACCCGGCGTGCGGAGCGATTATCGCACGTGCAGGACCGTGCCGAAAATCTGCTTGATGTAACCAGTGTTCTAATTGGCGGGAGAGCTCCGGACCAGAATCTGCGTACCAACTTCCTGCATGAGTAGCTCGACGAACTGACATCTTGTATTATTAATTACACTACTTATTATTACACTAAAATGTCCAAAATAAACAAAACTGACAACATGCTAATACTATGCGATCTGCTGTCAAGTCACCTTTGGAATTCTTGTTTACATACGCATTCATATTTACTTGATCTTCCAAAGGCGACTCGACGTCAATCCTTTTTTGATCGCCCGTTATTATAAAAAGCCGTTCTTAACAATTGACGCTATTTGGTTTGTAACATCACTAAAGATGTACCATGTACAACCCGCTTTAAGCATTTTTATCCACAACTAACCCAAAGCACATCTTTCCAAAATCTTGAAGCCTAAATATTGTGAAATTGGTCGTGCAAATTTATATAGTGGGGGTTCAGTTAGGAGGAGGCCATTGTTGAATTCAATTTTTAGCATAAACAAAAGGAATTTTTTCTTTGCACTCTTTCACTTGGCACCCAAGTAAAACTACACCTAAACATTGTAATTTGAATCATTTGCATCACCGTACGACACCACGTCTTGCGTATCGGCACATTTGGTGCTGTTTTACTCAATACTGAAACTGGTAGAGTGCCTACCTCAGCCCCTGTATCGAGCTTGAAAGATACCGGCTGTCCATTGACCAATAACTCCTTGATCCACATTGCTTTCTCCTCACTGTGTTGATCGAATTGTTATAGAACTCGTAGTCATTGTCAGCTTCGCTAGTTGACTCGGAACGGTCCATCTCCTTGTGTACACAATGAACTTTTTTCTTCGATCCTTTGCTAACCTTATGATCGGTTTTCTCCATTTTCTCCGGGCATACCTTTGCAAAATGATCTCGAACTTGGCGTTTTACACATCTCCCCGCTGCGGGGCACTTGTTGTCATACTTATGTTTGTACCCACTCTGGTTGACCGGGAGCTTTGGAGGTAGTTGCTTTTACCACATCCACTAAGGCTCCTTATCCAGTGTTCGTACTCTCTACTTCTTTCGGTTTACCTACAGTAATTTATTACCTTATTTAACCTCTACATTATTTGTTGTCCTTGGTATCCAAGTCGGCGTCTTTTAAGAACAGATTAATTTTTCTAGGTTTGGGAAATATTCCCATCAAGTACAAATAGATCTGGAAGCTTAAAATAGTTTGCAATTAATTTTCTTAGTCACGCAAGCGGCAATCCAAATTACTTCGAGAATCCAAAACATCAGGTTAATCGCCATAATACTTAAGGGTTTTGCAATAAACAGACATTGAATTCCTTACCGATAAGCACAACTCTACCTAAATGTGTCGATCACAAAACTGCTTACAACGAAAAACGATAGGGAATGAAAAAATAATCTAACGTGGCATTCCAACTCGAAAAATCGAAATGTTACAACGTGCTTAATGGCAAAGACCACCTCTTTATTAGCACTTATTTTTCCCCTCAGCACCTCACGCAAACGCTTTTCTAATGTATCGTTACCATACTCTTTCAGGCGTTTTAAGCCCTCCGCACGTTTGCAGACTTTTGACATTTTCTTTAAGTTTACCTAAACCGTACAGCAACACATAAGCGAAAGTTATCATTTCAATGTCACAGTGTAGTAACGTTATTACATATGCATTATCTGCAAATTTTAGCTTTCCAGACAACCGCACCTTGACTTGACACGTAACCGCTTTGTAAATGTTGCATAAAAGGATTGACATCGTTTTTTAACCCTCTATAAGTTTACGTTTTCCTATCCAAGCGACTATAAGCTTCGAATACCAACAAATACTCGCCACCAAGAACACTTGCTACCGGGAGGTCACCGTCGGAATATTTACCCCCGGTAAATTTCCCCAGTGGAAGATGCGTCCTCAGAACACTCGCCTACAAAATATTCGTCCCCAGAAATTCGCCTCCAGAATCATCGCATGCTAGTAACCACCGCGCGGAAGATTTGACTATACCCTTAAAAGCCACGTCATGAAATGTGACAATATTTTGTATTCCTTGCATTGGGTTATAACTTTTAGAAATTGATTTGCGCAAAAACTAGTTCACATATATACAGTGTGTCCCAGATCGGGTGGGATTGCATGGGTAACTTTCTTATTATTAAAGATAGAGAATTGGTTAAATGGGCAAAGTTTTGCAGTTTTAGGTGCTTATTTCAAATTTGTTTGTGGAAATTCAAAATGTCGAATAGGTTCGACGTAAATTCAACCTTTCCTTTAATGTCTTATATCATCGAAAGAGATATAAAAAAAGTTCTATATAAAAGTTACTGCCTTTGATACGTTTAATTTAGAATTGATGTAAAAAAAATTCAAGATGGCTGCTTTTGAGGAACATTTATCGACTTCTTAAAGTTAAATAGGCACCATATTGGATTTTTAGATTACTTAATCGAATTTTTAATTTTCTTTTCAACGAGCTATCATACCATAAGGTTGAAAATAAGATACCAGTTATATAAACGGTTTTTATATTTTAATCAAGTAGGCTATGATGAATTAAAAAAAAACAAAACAAAATCTATTCGAGGCAACACAACAATAATAGTAGATAATGTATTAAGGGATAAAACAAGAGTCGCTCGGAGTATTACTGTTCCCTCAGGGAATTATACTCCGTTTTATCCCGTGGTACATTCTACGTTTTATTTTTTATTGATAATAGTAGAATTGCTGTTGAAAAGTAAATTAATTTGCAAATAAAAATTTCACATCTGATTCGCGTTGTTGCATATGGGGTTGGCTGCGACTACCATGGTTACCTAGTTACGTATATAAACAACAAAAAATGCTGCGTCCGCCATTTTGAAAGCAATTTTTGTGTCGTTTGGCTTTGTTCAAGAACGGAAAATGTTGGAAGGGAATGAAGATGATGATGTTCCCATGAGAGGAATAAAAGAAGCTGAAGACGCTCTTAAGGAGTTAGTGCCGGCGACTTCAAAAACATTATATGAAAACGAATACTCCAAGTTTTGTAAATTGCGATCGGAAAAATCCTTGAAGATTGTGAACGAAATAGCTATTTATATATCAAGTACATAAACTGGGTCTTTATGGACGAGTCGTTTATTTAGCCGAACGAGTTTACGAGCGAGGCTTAAATAAAGATGGCGAGTCCATAAAGACGGTTTATGTACGCGGTATATACAAAGCTTTATGTACGATTGCAACAATTACTCTTTAAAGAAGAAAATTTAATAATCGACATAAAATCCATATATCATTGACAGGAGATGTCAAATATTTCGAAACTTAGTATCTACTATTTTATGAAATATATGAAACGTTGAAAATTGTGATGGTATCACGATACACTTACACACGGTATGCTCATTATTTTTCTCAAACGCGTCACCTGCGAACGTGTGGCGCCAAAATTCAAATGTTTACGCACGGAAAAATCCAGTACAGATGTCACGCGTGACAGTTTGCACCTTTTCAGTTGTATTTACGAGTTTTATAGCGTTAATTTGTTGATAGCTAAGCATTAATTTGTTGATAGCTAAGTAATCATTAGTGAAAATTCCAAAATGCCAGGTTGTGTGTGGAAATAAAATAGGTACTTTCGATTTCCGAAAATTGAAGACTTTTCTCTAAAATGGATTGCTGCAAGTCGTCGTAAGGACAAAATTACCTTGAAAAATGGTGTTGCATTATTATTAAGTGGTGTGTTTAAGTCTTTCCATTGCTGTTTAATCCTATATCCTGTATTTGTTATGAACATTTTGAAGCCAGCCGTTTTGAAGCACCGCAAGGGAACGACTCCTTAATTAGACATACTTTTAAAAACAGCGGATGTTTGAAACCTCATGCTTTACCTACTTTAAAACTACCGCGTAATAATGAAAATCAAAATAAAAGGGACACGGGGGAGCGATTACATCTTTTGATAATGCATTAATTATATAATTTTTACTGAAACAGCCGCATTTCATGTTTAGGGCCAATGTTTTTGGTTAGAGTTTATTTCATACGATCACGAAATCCCAGAAATAACTTACGCGAGGATCTCTACACAAATCAGTATGATTTGTCAACTAACCTTGTGATTTGTCGATCTAAGCATCGTAATTTTGCTCTTATATTCTGTGGTTTTGTTCGCACGTGACGTCACGCTAGATGCGCAAGAGCATACCGTTGTAAGTGTATCGTGGATGGTATCAAAGGTTGCTGTTCTTGTTGCTAGGGTAACAACAGTTTGTTTAAAAATTTGTGCGTTTGTGAAAATTTTTGTAGTTGTGCAAAAATGGAAGAAATATCGCAATTGCATCCGCAGCGAAGGAAACTCTTCTTCCCTGCAAATGGAGAACGGTATATGAAGAAGCTTACAATGCATACAAGAAATGGTGCGTAAGGAGAAATGTAAAAAAAACCGTTGAAGATACAATTCTGGCTTACTTTACTACCGATCTCGCGTCGTATAAAGCATCAAGCTTATGGAGTAAATATTCCATGCTACGCACTACGATTCATTTGAACGAAGGAGTAGATATTAGCAAGTTTCCCAGTGTTATTCCGTTTCTTAAAAGAAAAGGAAGGATATACGCCAAAAAAATCACTGATTCTAACGGATGAAAATGTGGATTCCTTTTTATTAAGCGCTCAGGATGAACACCATTTGCTAAATAAGGTATGTCCGTCTTTTTAGAGGCATAATTTTTGAAGATATGTTTTAAGGTAATTCTTATCTTTGGAGTGGCGGGTGCCTGTAGACGTCAGGAATTGGTTTTTTTGCAGACGACAAATGTTGAAGATCAGGAAAAACATTTTCTAGTCAAGATCATCGATACTAAAACCAAAAAAGATAGATCTTTTGTCATATTACCAGGAAAACACAATTTACTGCACATAATTAGAAAATACATAGCCATTCGTCCTAAAGTAACGTCACACAACGGATTTTTTATCAATTATCGGAATGGAAAGTGCACGGTTCAACCCGTAGGGGTTCACAAAGTTGGTGGTGTTCCCAGTGTGGTGGCCAAATTCTTGAATTTAACAAATGCTTCTTCCTACACGGGCCATTCTTTTCGAAGAACTTCTGCAAGTCTTCTGGCAAATGCAGGTGGAAGTATGACTGACATCATGCGCCATGGAGGATGGCGCTCGGTTAGTGTCGCGGAAGGCTACGTCGAAGAGTCGGAAATGACAAAAGTCAACGTTGCGACGAAAATCCTAGATGGAGCGAGTCCTTCATCTCATCATAAAGAAGTCGAAGAAAGACATCAAATGAGTGGACAACTCTTTATAAAGAACAATGTGGATTGCGTGATTAATATTAACAATTACTACTCGAATAAGCACTCCCCGAAGTAGGTGTTTCTTCAGGTGTTTTGCATTTATATTTATTTTGTTATGTATAAATAAATTATTTTGACAACCGACGACGTGACATTTGTTTATGGCCGCCGTCCATAAAGAGCCACTTTATGGCCGCAAAAAGATATCATAAAGTATTGATTATTATACAATCGAACATAATAGTTATTTATTTTTCATTTGCCTATTATATGACAATTATATCTGTCATATGAGATATGTAAAGCCCGAGGGCATAATGAGAGGGCATAATGAGATGACAATCCATTATGCCCTCTCATTATGCCCTCAAACTGCCTGTCAAATATATTGATGGAGTTATGTCATAAATAGTACATTATATATCAAGGTAGAGAAGTCCACTATTATTGCCTGAGCACCAAGATTACATCTCGAGGCGCTTGCGCCGAGGGGTGTAAGGTACGAAGGCAATAATAGACTTCTCTACCGTGGTATATATACTATTTTTTTCACTACTAGCACTTGAAATCCTCTAAATTAACATATTATATTGATAAGAGAGTTAACGGTTGGACAGAATTGTTTGTTTCTTAATTTAACATGTCAATCAAGTACGTGGAAGTACAAGTCAAACAGGCCGTATTTTGTTCTGTCATTGAGATTTTTCAAAGAGTAATTTCGTTCGAATTTTTTCAAAATGTGATAATTTTAGGTATGTAATTTCTCTGGAAATTGCGAATGGTGGCAATTATTCGTTTTAGAGAACTTGTCTAAACGTTCATTGAGCGAAATTTCGGGTTGTGTTTTCTAAAAGTGACAGCGTGACAGTTCTCATTATTGACTACTAGTTAATAATAAAAAATTATTAACCCTTAGACCATATAGTACATGGACTGCTAATTGAAACGAAAATATGGTCAAGGACATCGCCTGGGTATGTGAGTTTCAGGGTAAACGAGTCTGTCCGAAGTTGTCCGATTAGATACGATTTGAGACTGTCAACCTATAAATTAACAAACGTCAATTAATTAATCGCCTGGATATGCCAAAAAAGCAAACCTATCCGTATTTATGGACGTATAGAAGATAATCAAGAGTATTTAAAGCTTCCCGTACTACGCGGTTCCCATAAAAGCTACTCTTTACGCGATCCGAGTGGTGTTCATACGGCTTTAGTTTACCCTGAGATTCACATACCCACAACTACAGTGCCCTCTATCCGTGACCACCCATTTTGTATTGAAAGCATAGGGATAATAGCAGTCCATGTACTATATGGTCTAAGTATTAACCACTTTGAACAAATGCCGAGAAAGCCTACTTTACAAGTGGAAAAAAGGTTAATAATCATGTCATCAGACGCTAGTAGTGAAAAAAAAAAGATTCTACTTGATTCGTATGAAGCACTAACAATAATCATTACATTTGTATATTGGAAATGCATTATTTGGAACGATGAAAAATAAAATGTTGTATGCACCTCAGGCATTACTCGATATTTAACCCTCGGGCGACTTTCAATCCCTCGGGTCAGAGGCCCTCGGGCGCCCTCGGCATAAATATCGCCTTAATGCCCTTGATACATAAACATTCTTTTGGCGTATTTTAGTGAACGATCTAAGCAGGGAAAACCGTCTTGTTTGTGGACCTACTACTCCATGCTTAGATCCATGCTGCGTGTGCGAGAGAACCTAGATACATTATTAGACGAATTTGAACAATACTAAGACGTTCTTTTGGATTATAGTTATGGGCAATTGAAAACGTTTTTTTTCACTACTAGCGTCTGATGACATGATTATTAACCTTTTTTCCACTTGTAAAGTAGGCTTTCTCGGCATTTGTTCAAAGTGGTTAATAATTTTTTATTATTAACTAGTAGTCAATAATGAGAACTGTCACGCTGTCACTTTTAGAAAACACAACCCGAAATTTCGCTCAATAAACGTTTGAACAAGTTCTCTAAAATGAATAATTGCCACCATTCGCCATTTCCAGAGAAATTACATACCTAAAATTATCACATTTTGAAAAAATTCGAACGAAATTACTCTTTGAAAATATCTCAATGACAGAACAAAATACGGCCTGTTTGACTTGTACTTCTACGTACTTGATTGACATGTTAAATTAAAGAAACAAAAAATTCTGTCCAACCGTTCACTTTCTTATCAATATAATATGTTAATTTAGAGGATTTCAAGTGCTAGTAGTGAAAAAAATAGTATATATACCACGGTAGAGAAGTCTATTATTGCCTTCGCACCTTACACCCCTCGGCGCAAGCGCCTCGAGATGTAATCTTGGTGCTCAGGCAATAATACTGGACTTCTCTACCTTGATATATAATGTACTATTAAAAATAAGAATCAGGAATTTTAGCCCAAGAAGTCTAAGATTAACCATTCACTGTCTAAGGGAAATCTGAAAAGCACCTAGATGTATTTCAAAATATTGTTTTACACACAATTACTACGACAATGGATCTGTATCACAACCTACCAAATGAATAAAGTTAAGTATCGTAAAAGAAGACCATTTTAAGAAATATAACATGGTTACCACCTATGAAATGTCATTCTCGTTCCTTCTGTAGGTTTTGACTTATATTACACGATTGACAGCTAACCATTGTGTTTGACTTTACCATAAATATCAATTAATTGTCAAAGTAGTCCTATTGTTCTGACAGGGAATTAGATTTTACAACTCCCGTTGTTATGACAGCGGGAATTATGGGTCTGTTTATGTGGCTATAGACTAGTATTTTAACCACCATGTAAATTATCAATAAAAAATAATAGTATATTATATACTGAGGGACTAAAGTGTGTGTTTTAATCCCGAGGATGCAGATTGTTGCCCGAAAAACATAGTTGAGGGCAACAAGCACTGGAGGGATTAGGACGCACTTTAGTCCTGTGGTATATACGCTATTTTTTGTACTTCGGTAATCAGCTACGGCAATTTCAACGTTAAAGTGCAAATTTGAAAGAAAAAATTTGATTGATTGTAGGATCAATATACCTGGTAATGTCAAATTGTGACCGTATAACGATAAATGTCAGTTTGATTTAAAGATTCTAGTTTAAAAAGAGAAAGAAAAAATTGCACTTCAGTCCCTTAAATGAATGACAAAACACGTTGATTTAGTCCACGGAGTACAAAAAAATAATTACATTACATGCTTAAAATACTGGCCATTATTAGTGAAACACACTTCGAGACATTGGTAAGCGATCAACTATACTAGCAACAGCCACGATAAAGAAATTAAAATTGCAACTTTAGACTTTTTATAATTTCTCTTTAATAATTTGGGAGACTCGGTGACCTCGATCAAGTTCCGAAAATGTTTATCAACCCCTGAAATAAATGTTGTATAGTAAGAGAAAAACCTAAGATAAAGACTGTACGAAGATCCTACAATAGATTCGAACAAACACACAATTAATTGATTGAGAATGATACAAAAACAAATGTATTCCAAAACACATTAAATGGAAATACAAACAACATTCCTAAAATAATGAGAATCTTACAAAGCTTGTTTTTACATGGTACCCCGTAAGCAGTAGGTCGATAATTAAATAACGTATGCAGGAACGTTATTTTTCACGAGTAACAGCTAACGTTAATGTTTGCATCAAATAGTTAAAGAAATAGATACCAGTATAATAACAAACACATTATATTAAGATTATTGTTGGTACCTACACAGTGTTAATTTTCGAGATTACTTTTTTACATTTTTCCATAAATAATTTAAATGTCAAAAATAACAAACTCGGTATAATCGATTTGAAACATCTGTAACAAAGCAAAGCAGGTCCTTTCCTTTCAGACCGCGAAGGGTCGCGAAATTAGACACCGGTATATTTAGCCTATCTACTAAAATATTCCGTTTATATACTTGACTACAAAAAAGGGCAGACGTTACAAATTCAAATACTCTGCGTAACAACAATCCATGTCTAAGAATTCTTAGAATTTTAATCAAGTAATAATAGAAGAAATTAAATTACATTTCTACTTTTGTGTACTCAGCCAAAGAAACGAAAATAAACCCAACATGCAATTTGATTAAGTTCAACCTCTATCGATTTCGCATTTAAATCAGAAAAATTTACATACCGCACGAACCCTTTTTAAATGGAGATATTTTCATGCATTTCAGTGGCAGTATACCATCCCAGTTGCGTTGAAATTGAAAAAGTTTAGAAGGGCTGACTACTACTACAAATATTGCTGCATATGCGTAGGTATACAATTCGTTGGTGCCAAAGAAGAATTAAGATTGACAGTGTGGAATTTGTTTTGATTTATTTTGAAAGGCAATCGTCCCTATTTTCTTTAGTCATCCCGTGAAAGTGAAAGTAAACATTGATGACGAAAATGGGAAAGTCTGAGTCGATACTCTTACAACCAATCCACCTAAGGGGATCGTCAAGGTAGCAAATAAAGCTGAGAAAATTGTTCATCCATTTTAAATGAAATTATTTAAATATTGCTTGTTTAATCTTTTCGGCCCGTATAAATAATCTTTCTAAGTAAATAAATGACAGTGAATGAGGTCAAGAAGTTAGTTAACTGGGTTGTATTTGTTCCTTACGTTCAAATTAAATCTGTTCCGCAAATTGTCCGCCGCATAATTTCGCGAGGTAGCACGTAAACCATTAGAAACGTTGTCAACATTTGTGTACGTGAAATGCATTTATATCGTTCAGCAAATAGTATGTGTAAAATAGCAGCATCTCTTCATACCGTAACAAGAGCGATTATTTTGCATTGAAATTTTTTCCGATTTTTTCCGTTGAAACATGCAGAAGGACAATTTCTGAGTTGTTAAAATCTCACGAACATTCCACCAAACAAATATTACTCATAAGTTCAAGTTTTTATTTTGTCGATTGTAATATAGTAGCTTTCTTCTTTTTCTCACATTTCGGTCAGTGAGTTAAATGTTCTAAATTATATCTGGCGGCCCTTTTTCGGATTTTAGTGTTGAAGCACAAGCTGGAAACAGGTCAACAGTTACATACACTATCTACGTTGCGAATCGAGCATTTCTTGGGAAAAAAACAAACTGAATTTGCAGAGTCAGCATTTCTGTAGACAGCTCTAAAAACAAGCGAACCAATGAAAATTAATAAAATGTCTCCAGCATTACTATTCCACCATTATATAAACGTTAAAAAGTTGACTTAGAATTGTGGGAGGGGATTATTTTGCACGAAATTAGGGATTCAATTAGCGGCAGTGGCGCTAGGTGGAACTATAACAGACTCTCGTTGTGGTGTTCGAAGAGTTAAGGCGAACGTTGTTGATTAGAGGCCTTTGATTCAATACCTTAGTAAAAATAACGTTAGGAAATAACCGAGCTTAAAAAGGAATAACAGTTTATAGTAGTTTACATTGCGAGACCGTTACATAGAACTTTACAAGCGAGCACGGAAGTTAACAAGCGAGCTTTAGCGAGCTTGTTATCCGTGCGAGCTTGTAAAGTTCGGGTAACGGGTGAGCAGTTGTACAACGTTTTATGGTATTCCGAATCGTAAATCTTTAACGAAAAGTTCTTTTTCTTTGGAAAAAAACGAAAGTTATTCAATCGAACTGGCCGTTGAAAATATTTGGCGAACGTTACTACGACAACATTCTGTATAAACAAAAAAAAACGTTTTGTGTTTTTCTTGAATCTGACAGAAAATGGATCTTCCAGACGAAATAATCCAAGAAGCGGAAGAAGCTAGTGGAAAATTAATACCTGAGAAATCCCGAAACCGGTACGAAAAGGAACTGACAGCATTTAACGAATGGAGAGCAAAGAGAGTCGGCGAAATGGTACTGAACGAGACCGTTGTGTTGGCGTACGTTTCTGGTCTATCAAAAGTCTTCAAGGCATCAAGTCTATGGATTAAATTTTCGATGCTGAAGAAAGCTCTCATCGTTAATGGCAATGTTGATATATCTAGGTTTGTTGCGAGAACAATAATCACCGTATTTGTTGTATCTACCTAATTTAATTGGTTTTATAGATTTGGAAAGGTTATCGCGTTCATGAAGGCTCAAAATGTTAATTACGTGCCGAAGAAATCTAAGATTTTGTCTGTTGAGGACACCCGCCAATTTATTTTAGAAGCTTCAGATGATTTTTTGCTCTGCAAAGTTGTCTTGATCTTTGGACTGTATGGGGCTTGTCGCCGAGATGAACTACTTAAGCTAATTGTGGATGATATTGAGGACCATGAGAAGTACGCTCTAGTAAAGTTGCAAGATACGAAGACTCATACATCTAGATCGTTTATTATTCCTGATGCAAATGGATCTTTGAATCCTTATGAGATTTATAAAAAATATGCCAAATTACGTCCTCTTGATGTTGGAACGAGACGCTTTTTTTTGGGATACAGAAAAGGAAAGTGCGTTGCTCAGCCGGCTGGTATGCATACCATTGGTGGTGTACCGCGAAAAGTAGCAGAATTCCTTGGTCTGGATCACCCTGAAAAGTATACTGGGCACTGTTTAAGACGAAGTGGTGCTAGTATGGTTGCGGAATCTGCTGGAAATCTTCTGCCAGTAAAACAAATTGGTGGCTGGAAGTCCTCAAGAGTGGCAGAGGGATACATCGAAGCGTCAGTGAAGAGCAAAATGGCAGTTGCAGCAATGATACCCCTGGCGGGGCCTAGCAATATCCACTCAACGCCAAATGGGGCTGTTGCATCGTCTTCAACTGCTGGACTAATGATTAGTGGGAATTCTAACTGCACGATTGAAGTGCATATGTGTAAACATAATGATTGTTCTTAATTTTTCTTATTTGTTGCCTTCTGCCTTTGCATATCTTTAATAAATATGTATTGTTGCTAAACAGCCCGTTATTTAGCCCGTAAAAAAAATAACGGGCTAGCCCGTAAAGAGTCTCTTTATGCATAGAATCATAGATCAATAGAAAGGTGTTTACGATTCAGAATACCATAAAAGTATTTTCAAGGCAACCGTAGTACCCATTTTTAACCCGTTGGTTTTTTGGAAGATCATTTGCCCCAGTGGAAAAATTGCGTGACGAATAGTTATCAAACTAGTTCTCAGGTAAACCACTAACATTGCAATTATCATTTCGAAAAAGCTCTCTGGCGCCTTTATTTTGAACTCGAAGCAAAAGTTGTATACTTTTTTAGAGATCTCATCAAGACACGCTTTTTTTTAATTAATATATTTCACTCTGATGCTTATCTTTTCGAGAAAAATACAGATTTAGAAAAATAAAATAAATAACTTTTCAATTCATAGCTTCTCTAAAACTAAGAAAAAACTGTAATGAACTTTGTTATTGACTTTTTTAAGCCACTTTGGCCAGTATATGCGAAAAAAGTTTAATACAGTTTTTCAAGTCGTTACGGGTCTTTTGACACCCTCAACAACCATGAAGACGGTTGCAGATCAAAACCAAAATAGGACGTTTTCGATTCCACATATCAGCCTATATGCACCCAAATTTCGTTTGGGGCCTGTGGGCTTCAAAACGTCCAGAAAACCCAATATGGCGTGTCGAAAATGCATCACGATTACAATACTTTCCTTTATACATACTTCGTATGTAGCCGGAAAAAAGTGCCAATCACAAGAGATTAAGGTGGTATAAAATTAAACCAAGGGACATTTACGCATTTCAGGGTCGGAGTTAAAAAAACTAGTAATCGTGTCGTTTTGAGTTAGTAAAGAACACAGTCCGTCATTATAACAAACTCGATCGTCAGCAAATTGCTTAAAAAACTTTACCGCTTATTGGCAGTGTAATCGAGTAAAAAGGAAGTTTAAGTTCATATGTAAAACGAAATTACAACAAAGAAAACTGTTAGTAAAGTCAAGTAATATTCACACTACCTTCTCTCTACTTGTTGTTTACCTGCTCTACTTTCTCTCTGCCTGCTCTACCTTCTCACTAGCTTCTCTCTACATGCTTTGTATCTGCTATCTACCTCAAGTTCTTATTTGCGCCGAAAAAAGGCATTAAGTGTAAAAGTTTACCTAAGAGATTTCCATAAACGCAAAACAGTTTTAATAATAATCCAGTTAAATGAATGTGTGTTGCCAGTGCAAATTTCGCAACTCAATTGTACTCACCACCAGAAGAATTAACATCCGGAGACAGCCTACATTTCCCCAACAATCGGCGAAAAATACAATCTAAAGAGCCATTGCTTAGAAGATATTCAAGTCGGGGGGTTTTAAGCATGCATTCCAGCTGAAAACACCTGCTAACTACCTCATTTGAATGATTCAACAAAAATTAGCCGTAAGAATTCCAGACCTTCGGTGTTATTATTTCGCTGGACAATACAAAGACAAAGAGTAAAAAAGGTCACTTTTAATAGGGAATCGTAAAAGCTAGCGGGGGCATTTTTTAATACAATTAGTTGTATTTCAGTATAATATCAGTACTCGCCGTTAAACACTCAAGGCGATAGACGATATGTGATAGCCTCCAAATGCGTACACGAGATCTCGGATTACCCCGAGAAGAAACTGAAGATCTTCTGCACTTTTAGATTAAACAAAATAAATTACAAACAAAAAGCAAGAGGATCACGGCAAACAATTGGGTAGCCTTTCACCTAAACACTGACAAGGAACAAGAAACCCTATCTAATTCAACAACCAAAAAGAAGACGAATATGTACAGGGGTTGAAATTAGAACACTCAAACGCATTTTGGCGATTTATTAATTCTACAAAGAAATTTTTCTAGGGAAAATGCGACTTTGTACTGAAATTTTGACTTCTCCTAAAGGCACTGTTAATCGATTTGCTAGGCATTTTCTAAGAAATATTTTACCACTAGCGAATATGGTACAAACGTTTTCCAGCAAATTATTAGGCTGTAGAAAGTAGTTTATGTATTTGTCATCACCGATTTGTACGAACAATTTGTTGTCAATTAAAATTTTGCTTTTGGTGGTGTTGTCAATTGATTAATTGATTCTTATTGAGTAATAGTTACGGTTTTAGTATTCGATTTACTTAGTGTCAGACGTTAGACATTGTTATCGTAATATTTTGTGCCGCTCGATCCACAACCCCGCTTATTTGTTTGTTTGCTTGTTTCTGAGCACAAAACGCCGTTACAACCAAAGTTCAAAGGTAATTTTGGCTTTTGCTCTTGAACTTCACTTTATTATTGGTCTTGTTATTGGTATCAGTATATCCAAAACATAACTTTGGTAAATTTATGACAAGCACCATTGAGAAAGTTGTGCTCAGATAAAGCGCGAAATTTGAATGTCCCATAAAGATCAAAATCGATACGTTACCTAAATTACATCTTCAAATCAATAAATACTGTCAAATGCAGGTAAATTATTGGCTGCTTTATTTGTGATGCAAACGTTATAGGTTACACTTTAAATAAAACAAACAATTCTTTGTGATCATTATTACTGAAAAATCTAATCAGTAGCGGAGATGTTGAAGAACAAAATATCTTAATGTCCAAGTCTGCTGAATTGAGATACACATTTTTGTGAAAAAAAGATTTCATACAAGAATCGAACCCGCGCCGCCCGATTGCAAACCAAGTATCCTCATCGCTAGACCAGAGACTAGAGTTCGAATTCCGAAATATTGGTGGGGAAGGGTCAATGGCGTCTGCCATTTACAAATATGCGTCCCGGACTCTGGTAAAAAAAAGAACGGCTCCAGGCCAGGCAGCACCCTTATCTGATTAAAAAAAATTGGATTTGTTCACAGTACGACGTAAAGATTCTGAAGAAGGTCTGATACACGACAACGACTATGCAATGAAAAAGGAATAAGAGAATAAAGTATGCGAAGAATTACTATTTAGAATGGGACTACTCACCTGAGAGATATCACCATTGTATTTCAGATTTGTTGTACGACTTTTGCTTGTATCATTTACCACAAGGAAATTGTTTCCGTTCTACACGGAAGAGTAAAGAATGGTATCGTCCATTTCGATTAAGCCCTTCAAATTTACCGTTTACTGATTGGCTTACGAATCAACGGAGATGATCAAACGCATACCTATATGAATCATATGAACTATGAACTATGTGAACCATTAACCTAAATACACACAGCGTGCAATATTGAAACTATGTAAGATTTTTTTGCTTAACTAAAGTTTATTCAACGAATTCATACCAATAATATATGCGTTGCCCGAAACATTGATCCAGAGCTTTACTTTATAGCGACGCACCTAATGCCCGATAATTTGTGACCAGCAACCAAACCATAAATTTCCATTTTCTTCAGCTTGGTGGAAGTTAAACACTTTGTAAATCGGTATTTATACCCTAGAATTGCCATTTCAAGACAATGTTTCTGTATGAATCGCAGTTCGAAAAATCCTTGAAGTTTATTGCGACTAAATTCGGGTCTCTATTTCCGAAGAATTCGGCTTTAGTTTTTGTCTAAAGATCGAAAATTTCTTGTTCCTTTCGATATTTTAAACCAATTTACATATTCGGATACAGTAAATGTCTACAGACTTCTTTCCGTGTTCCATTGTGCACTTCTTTTCGTACATCCGTTGTCATAAAACGAAATGTATACACAACTATAAAAAAGTGGAAGTTTAGAAAGGTTTTCGAAATAAACAGCAAAGAGATACGCGCTAAAAGGCGTTGTTATTTTCTAGAGGGTTATTGAAACGGTAACGTATGTTTGTCTACAAAATGGCATCCTCTTCGAAAAGCGTTTGTTTGACACCTAGCAAGTAACGTAGTTTGCGGTTTCAGATCAAAAGACCGCAACGGAAACACTGCTGTAGTGTAGATTACAAAGAGAATCTCTCCTACGTTCATTAAGCTGTAAAACTAGTAATCGGTTATGCTAAAATTATAACCCCCCCTTTTCACATTCCCCAATTGTGTTACACGCGATGTTACAATTTTTTTGAAATAATTTAGTTTCCGCGCCAGCGGTTTAATAACAGATAACCGGGTGAAAAAGTCTAATCTACAATATTAAGGGTATTGGAAAAAGCATTTCCTTTCGCATAAAAGCTGTGGCAATATTTTGTTTAGGTCCTTTCATCAAAAGTTTATGTAGTGCATGCTAAAATATTAGCCTATAATGCTGAAATTGGTTTTGTATTTATGCTAGCAGCATCTGTGGAATAAATGATTTCAGTGTGAAGTTGAAATTAAAATAAAATCCAATTTTACTCGAAAAACGTATCAAATTCAATTTGAGCTGAGAAACTTTAGAAATTCGGAGCTTGTTTGCAGAGACGAGGAATTTCTGATCGTAATAAAGTGGAAGGTGGACGATGCGTTCGTATAACTGAGTTTCCTTCAATCTCATAATCCACTGGTTGTCTCCGCGCCTTTTCTACAAGAAAAAGGGTCGGTATACAATGTTTACCGATTTCGAGAACGTGAATGAAGCAGTTTTCCAAATAGTGTGGAGAGGGCCTTTTGTAATTCAACCGGACATCGCGTAGTAAAGTCGTAACCTAAATTAGCACTTTGTTTGATGGGGGTCAACAGAACGCAAGGTTTCATGAAATGTAATCTGTCTGAAATCGCTACTGAAACAAATTTCCAGGAAACAAGGTTCCCATTTTTTACATTGAGGATTTACAGTAGTTAACTCATGTTATTTCTATTGCATTTGAGCATAGGTACCAACACATTTTTGGAAACGAAATGGGGTCTAAAAGGATCTTTGTACATCGCTTCATTGAATCTATTCACCAGCATATTGTGATGTGGAAATAATCCATCTTACAGAGTGCAAAGGTATTCATCCGAATCAGGAAAAAAAACTCTATGCATTGAAAATTCCTCACAGTTTGACAGCACAAGCACTATGCTTTCACGATAGGTTCAGCAACGAACACCGCGTCTGTTATCTGCGGTATGCGAATTTACCTTCATTAAATGAACGTACACAAGATAATAAATAAATTGCGCCTCCACAAAGCTTTCCAAACGTGAATTATTGGTATTTGGAATCCCCGTACCATGTAGACAAGAAACATTCATTTTTAATTCAAATGTAAGTTATTGCACTATCCTCCAGCTTTCAGCACCACTAAATTCCGAATTATCGTCCTCAATGTTTCTCTATTCGTTGTTTCACTATCAAAAACTAAGTTTCCCCCAAGATAACGTAGAATCTGAGCCGAAAATTCAAGTTTTTGAAAATACCAAAATAATACGTGGTCAGAAGTTGGCTCTCAAGTAGAACTAAATAAAAATTGCACACAAATTTTCTCATTTAGTAAAATGGACTACAATACAGGGTCCCTCCCTTCAGGTTTTATTTGCTTTCAGCACCTACAGTACCGTTCGGTCACCCTGTATGTGTTGAATTTCATTATTTTTGACGTTAAATGTTTGTCGCTAAGTTATAATGAACACATTTTGATTTTGAAGTCATTGTTGATTTTATTTAGAATTATTAATACTCCGTGACGTGAAAATTGCAACACCAAGAAGGAGTTCTGTACCAAGCAACCTGTAATTCATTATGTAGATCTTGCAGCGTGTGCGGAAGATGCAGTAAGTTCTTCAGTCTTCTCCGATTTCCTTGCGTAATTTTGTTTAAATAGTCGTTGTTTAATTTGTTTATTGTATTGTTCAGGTAGATTTGTGTATAATGTTTTGTAAAAGTTTATCTCACGATACCTCCGGTCATTGCGATAAGAGTGTTATCGCTGCGTAAAGCTAATTAGGTTTAAAGGTAAGCAGGCTTCGCCGACAAGAAAACACAAAGGTGTTTAATTTATTCGACGACGTATGACTAAAGGTGGAAGGTGTAGAAAGGGAGGGTCGTTAAATAGAAGGACCAGGCTTGAAACGAGGCTTTTTGGTGGTGGACGTTTATCGTGATTTTTCTTGGTTTAGTGAACATTGAAAAGTAACCGCTTTTTGGTTTGCCGTAGTTGAGTGTAAGGCAGTCCGTCTTGCAAACTGTAAAGTTTTGTAGGAAAAAGTTAGTTGAGTGCGTTAAGAAATTTTATTACAGCATTTAAAGTGGATGTCTAAATCAAATTAAAGAAGTGAAGTTTACGAAGAAGTTAGTCGGAGTGTTGTGTTTATCGCGCAGTGAATGCTTATGTGAAGTATTTTCTTTAGGGTCTTCAAGTATCAGTTAAAGGGAATTTTTCCACTAACAAAGAGCCAGTATTATATCTGTAAATACAACAAACTGAGTGTCCTCTAATAGAGATTCAAGTGAAGTCAAAGAAGTTCGTATCATCGTTTAGTGTATTTATTCATCAGTTCTAGAAAGCGCAATTATGACTGGATTATTTATTAACACTTTAAGGTTATTAAGATTTCTTTAACTCATTGTTTCAATCGATCGCTTGTTTCGTGGTATATGTACTCTGATCGTAAATGCCTATTTTTATTTCAGCTTTATCGATTGACATTGTCTACTAAATCTGTTTCATCTGTAAAGATTAATGTTATGTTTAAGTTAATTTAAGTATGATAAGAAACACCTGGAACAAAGTTGTAAAAGTTTATCTCCGGTCTGTGATTAGAACTGTTATCGCTGCGTATGCTAATTAAAGTTGAATTTAAGGAAGTGCTATCGCCGATTAGAAAGCATAGGTGTATTTTGATCTTTTGAAGACACGCATTATTTTGTTTAGAAAGGAGAACCGGAAGTGAGGAAAGGGAAAAGCGAACCGAATGTTAATCGACGTCTTTTGGTTGGTCAAGCGGTTGTTTGGTAGTGGCTCTTTTTGCAGAAAGACGTGAATCGAGTTTTGTGGACGTTAAAACGCAGGTGTATTTTAGCGCATTGGTTGCAAAATAGTCAGTTTTGCTGTTGTCGAAGCTCTTTGCAAAACTGCCAGTTTTTCCAGTTATCACGTTTTAGAAGAAAATTAAATTAAAATCGTCATTTTAAGTCGGTTTAAGCGGAAGCGTATTTTCCCATTTACGAAAAAGTTTAATCGGAGTGCTGTGGTTGCGAGCGTTTGTCCTTAAGTTATCAGTTAAAGGGAATTTGTCTCCCATCACAAGAACCAATACTATAATTATAATACTATAAATAAAAGTTTGGGTGCAATGGAAGAATCATCACCATCATGGTTTTTGTGTTAGGTATGTATTAGTGCGCCTCTTTGATAAAAAGAGCAATTATAACCAGATGCTAGGATTATTTAATTTAAAGTAATTAAAAGTTTATTTAAATCTAATTTGTTTAATCGATCGCTTGTAGCGTGGTGTGGTTTATCTGGCCCTGAATGACTGTTTTTCTTTTGGATTGCTTATTTAAATTTGTTTAATCTATACATGATTGGTTTTGTGATTAATCGAGCACACTATTAAGTTTTTTGCGTAGAAAATTCAGCGGTTCATTATTTTTTGAATTTCCCTGATTCCAATACCCACCGACATCATGCGATTTAACACCGTTACGACTACTTTTATTTGGGGTTGCATCAAACCCAAAGTATATAGCATCAAGTCAGTGACTCCAGAGCAACGTTACACGGACCACAGCTGAGACACAAGCCCATATGATCCTGTAGCGAGAACTTTTACTTTCGCTTTCTAAAAAGTGAAACTGTGTTCCGCTTAAAATTATCCCCTTTGTACAGGACTGAAAGTGACCGGTCCTTTTGACACCAATTATCCGACACGCACATGTGTTGAATGATGAGTACGGGGTGCGCTGTGGGATATCAGGAACGTTACCCTTTACGGCGACACGGATATTTAAAATGGTGGTTCCTATTAGATGTAAGTTAGTTAGTTTTGTTCATCGTTAGACGCTTGTTGTAAAATCATTTTTGTTGTAAATCAATTGCTATAATAAAGGTTTATTAATTGTTTAAAGCCGCAATACAAACAATTCCTGAAGTGCGCATATGCCCCGCACCTCAATCCAACGAGTCATCCAAAGTTCGAATTACCTTCTGCAAGAAGACTATTTGGTCGATATTCTTTTTAAATCATAAATGGCATAACTTTATCTATTTAACAGTATTGGACCAAGTCCGTTTTAGTAGTATTGTGAAGCAGAGTAACATACAGGGATGGGCGAAACATCGGAGTCATGTAATTATGTTTGAACCTTTAAAAAGAGCAAAAACCTAATCTCCGTCCTGGTATCATTAAAGTGTAAACGCACTGCAAACCAGCACAATCTGAGACACCCTGAACATGTGTAAAATAAACGGTGCATTGAAAAAAAAATTCAATGACTGTGGTGAGATGAAGCATGATAACACTTCCCAAACGTATACACTTGAAAATACTTTCATATACTATTACTTCTAGTAATCTCGGTCGCTAATACTATTATTGTGAATATTTGTTGTACCAAGATAAAAAAATTAAATTATCGTGCATAGGGGCCAAGGGTTATCGGATCTCTCAAACAATTATAGTTACGAATCTTATAATTATCAATACTTAGAACATTTTGACAAGGTTCAAATTATGCTTTCGTCGCCAATTTATTTTCCCGCATGAGCGTGGCAGTTATAAGTTAAAATTTCATACGAAGCAAAATGCTGCTCGTGTCCTTCGTGTGGTATCCACAGCCCTTTACTGCCGGGTCTGTAGCTGAACACTTTACCAATTACTGTTTGCCCGTTATGATTAACACGTCCAATGTGCAGAATTTGATCGACCTCTGAGCCTCCAATGACCAAATGGCAATTAGTGATAAGGTGCGCTTCCTCGCTCTTGGTAACGAGCCATGAAAACTTATCCAGCTGAGTACTGCACAGTATCTGCAATTGAAGGTAGTTTAACTTATCCGAACCAAAGAGGATTACTCACCTTGATGTTTTTACTAACGGGAATCGCTCTATTGTAAGCTGACGCGGTAGCTGTCGTTGACCCCGCTTTTATGGTTGCCGGTAAAAGTTCGAACCCCTTTATGTAAGCCTGTCCAATGTATGTTGGCTGACCGGACCCATCAATACCTCCTGGGACTGCATCATATGGTATTTCTCCCACGTAATCTCTCCAATAATATCCTTGAACAGGTTATTACCAGAGAATTGGGCAACACAGAAAGTACCTACCGAGAGGTGCTTGTTGGCAGGTAGCTGGTTCACTCGTAGCGAATGCAAGATTCACACAAATGATCAAAATCAATCTCATTCCACCCATTGCGCGAGAATACTGTCGTTAAGATGCGCACACAATGAACTTATTTGTACTTTTGAGGTTATCGCTATTTTCATGACGAGCAGCTATTATTTTACGATAACGGACGGGGGTTTTTCTGTTCCGTTCCTTCGCTATAACAATGACGGAGTTGTACTCAATTACACAAGATTGTTCTTAGTTATCACGGATATCTGAAACCAACTTTGTGTTATTGTTTTATTTTTCGCAATTTTTCCCCTATTGATGGACTATCAAGTGGGGGGACTCTAGACACTGTTACATAACCGGAAGCGTAAATTATTATATCCGGTTGTGTTTTTTATTATTAGACAACAGCAATCAAGACCTCCCCGAAGCATATTATAGTTTTATGTGTCTTAATGTTGGCTAACATGTTTAGAAAGGGTTCCTAATTTAACGCCAAACCTTAGAGTGGAAATAGAATTTGGATTAACTGTTCTTGTTTCCACAAGAAGGAGAATATAATTTTACATTTTTTTAGTTTTAAGACACAAATTCCTCTTCAAAATGTTTAACATTTGCCAGCAAAATCGAATATCGCCTATTCGTTGCCGATGGCGCTCAATTTGTAGTCTGTAAAAAAATCAGCTTCATTCATCCAACCGTAACCTAGTTATATCCGTAGAAAGTTTGTGAAAAGCCGACTAAAAATTGTTTTTTTACACAGTTATCAAATGTGAGCGATTTTTTTAAATATTTTTTTAAGAGCTATTATCAACGTTTTCATTTGGTGTATAACTTATTTTCTCGAAAAATAACCTTTTAGAAGTACCCGCAGCGCCTTAAGTCATATGACCTGAGGCGGCAGACGGTCGATTTTAGCATACTCGGATAAGGCAAAATAGAACTCCATCGGTTAAAATTTTGATCATTCTCGTTCAGTAGATTTCGAGCTAGCTCCCCTACTACTGGTTGTTCAGCCTTGGTGAAAAGCAGGTGTTTGTCTACCATTTAAGTGTTCCTTGGTTTCGATATTTTTCCAAGCGTTATGAAGGTACTACTCGTTCTATTTTAAACTCGCTTTTTAAATTTCATATCTTACCTTGTTACGATTTCAACTTTGCATTAAATTTGACACCTGTTAATTTGAAGGCGTGCACCGCCACTGTTTTGTGTTTTCCGTTAGATGAGTCATGTTTTAGAATGGCTTCGATGTGCACATGATTATTCCAGCAAATTTTGTGATAATACTCACTACTATTTTAAGGTATTCACGCCGGAGTAGATTATCAGTAGGATGTTGCCCTGTATGTTGGGATTAATCATTTATTTCCGTAGAAAAATAACATCATTCAGTTGGATTCTAAGCTGTATGTTTCTTTTTCATTCCCTTTCTTCTGTTTAAAATGAGAGATTGTATGTGGAGTGGTCTACTTGAATATCTACTGCTGGAACTTTTTTAAATTAATGATGGACGATCCCGGAACAAAGTCATGCCAATTTTGATGTTATTTAGGTACATGCAATTTATCACTTTACGAGAAGTTGTGTCTAAAATTGAACCGTATATATGTTTGATGAATTATGTCTTTTCTACTAAATAATTTATCTTGTTCTCCCATTTGTAGTTATGATGCCATATTTATCTCGATTTGATTAATTTATTTAACCACATATGACCCGATTACCTAATTTTCGTGGTACGATTTGGTATATGTTTGACTTTGTATTTGTGTGTGTGTGTCAGTTTTTTCTTGCTGGGTTTTTTTCCCGGCCTTTCGGTTTAGATTTGTTCTGCGGAACCAAGGTTCGTGCGTAATAAATTTAATTTTTCTTATTCTCCTTGGCCGCACAAATTTTCTGTCATTTGTTCAATTTCCTTCTCAGTTGTGTCTCACTTTCCAACACATAAAATACCGCCAAAGTAAAAGGCAATATAGGAATCCCATTTGGAGCACCCAGTCCTAGCTGAATGCTACCTAAATTTAAAAAGTGCAGCGAAAAATTAGAATAAAATAGGGGATATTCTATTATACATTTTAAAATAGACGTTTACTTCAGGTTAAACCGGAAACTCAACTAAAAGCAATCAAAGCAAATACACAATTGTTATAACACCTACCTGCCAAATTTCGTTCTCTATCTCTTAAAACTCCAGAGTTCCACACTTTTGCCCATCTCTGTATAAACCAGTGCCAGCTCATCATACTAAATTGTTAAATTGTACAATGCGCACCCTGGCGAAACTTGTTGTTGGATAAAGACATTATTTGAATATGCGAACACTAGAACTCTACTTTTATTCGAGGTGCCTACATACAAAATTTCATGTAATTCGGTTCATAACTAACGTAAATGTCAAAAGGGCCGTCCTTATTTTTAGGCCTACATTGCTAATTCACCAACTCCGATCTACAAATTTGATAAAGAATCCACCTGCAACATTTCATCGTCATCGGTCCATCCGTTCTCTTTTAAATCGAGCGAGCGAGCGTTCGAGGGAACGAGCCATCGGATGATTGAGAGAAAGCAAAACCGTCGCATTTAAAAGTCAACGCTAAAATGTACGACTATACTCTATTCATTTTAAGAAGGTAGTGGTAGAAATCATAGGGAAGCTTTCACCTTCACTGTGATTGGTTAAACCACGAGTCTGTATTACGCCGAAAAATAAAATGTGTGACCAATCTCGTTATGTTAGTAGTTTCGGTTACGAACTAAACTGTCGAACTGACATTAGATGTCAATTTCAATGATCCAAACGTGAAATCTTTTGATTTATATTCATATTTTTCAAATTTGGAGCGGTTTTATATTTATCCTGTGTGCGTATATCTTTAAACACAGCGCCATCTACTACCTTCTTATAATGAATGCAGTATAGTGAAATAAAGCAAATGCTGACACTTTCTACAAGTAGGTATATATTTGAAGATAGTTTTCACACAATATTTGGTACGGGAGACGCAATTACTCTGGCAGCAGCATTTTGGTGACTAGTATAATTGATTATTATGAAGATTTCTTTCGTCAAGATAAAAAGATTAAATTATCGTGTGCAGGAGTTTCCAGTTGCAAATCTTATAATTATCAATACTTAGAAAATTGTGACAAGGTTCCAATTACGCTTATTTTCCCGTATGAGCGTTACAGTTATAAGTTAGAATTTCATAAGAAGCAAAGTTCAGCTCGTGTCCATCGTGTGGTATCCACAACCCTTTAAAGACGGGTCTGTAACTGAACACTTTACCAATTACTGTTTGCCCATGATGATTAACACGTCCAATATGCACAATTTCATCGACCTCTGAGCCACCAATGACCAAATGGCAATTAGTGATAAGGTGCGCTTCCTCGCTCTTGGTAACGAGCCATGAAAACTTGTCCAGCTGATTACTGCACAGTATCTGCAATTAAAGGTTGTTTAACTTCGGCAAACCAAGGAAGATTACTCACCTTGATATTTTTGTTAACGGGCATCGCTATGTTATAGGCGGACGCCATAGCTGTCGTTGAACCCGCTGTTATTGTTGCCGGTAAAAGTTCGAAGCCTTTTATGTAGGCCTGTCCAATGTATGTCGGCTGACCGGACTTATCAATACCTCCGGGAACTGCATCGTATGGTATTTCCCCCACGTAATCTCTCCAATAATATCCTTGAACAAGTTATTAGCAGAGAATGGGATACTATAGAGAAAGTACCTACCGAGAGGTCCTTGTTGACAGGTGGCCGATTCACTCGTAGAAAATGCAAGATTCGCACATATGATAAAAATCAACCTCATTCCACCCATTGCGCGAAAATACTGTCATTAAGATGCCCGTACACAAATTATTTATACTTTTGGAGTTATCTAAATTATGATAACGGACGGGGGTTTTTCTATTTCGTCGTTATTATTGATGGAGGTACACTGCATTACACAAGATTGTTTGTTCTTAGTTATCATTCATATTGGACACCAACTCCTGCACTTTTTCTCCCATATTGCGGACTTGATCATTAAAGGGACTCTGGACACTGTTATATAACGGCGGAAACTATCGGAAGCGTAAGTTTATATCCTGTTTTTTTATTATTGGACAACAGAAATAAAAACCTCGCCAAAGGGCATTATATCTTGACCTTAATTGTGTAATGTTTTATTCTTGTGGAGTTTTCTCTACACTCATTGTACCGAATTGCATTAGAAGATTCAACCTTTACTTTACGCCGAACCTTAGAGTGCAAAATTGTCTGTTTTTGTTTCCACTAGAAGAACCCAGTTTTGCATTTCCTTAGTTTTTTTTGCAAAGGAGTGGAAATGGGCGATTTGTACTACTGTATCTTACATTGGTTTTAATGTATTGTCGTCTGATTGGGACCTATCGATACCTCCAGTAACTGAATCATATGGTATTTCTCCTTGAACAAGTTGTTAGTAGAGGATTGGGTACCACAGAAAATAGGGACCTGTCGAGAAGTTTGACAATTTGGAACCATTCCATCAGTGGTATTGGCACATGGCCACCAGTCATAGAATTAAGAGAACCAGAATTTACGAGGGGGGATGATTTTTGTCACTTTGGCAGCGGTTTGTATGTCAAAAAATAGGTAATGTAAGACTTGAAACTTTATTGGCGATGATATTTTCCAACGAAACAAGGATCCCCACAAAAAAAATAGTGAAAACGGATAATCGGTTTTGTGAGATTGTGAAGGATTCTGTTCAGTGAGTACTGGAAGTAGGCACTACAATTAACGGGCATGTTTATGAAACTATTAATAGTTTTATTGATGTATTGCTCCATATGTAAATTATTTTTGGATATATTAGTGTAGTAGGTAAGTAGAGGCAAATAATTTAATGTTTTTTTTTTCTTTTCTTTAAAGGTTATCGATTTCGAAGTATTATTTCATCATGAGACCTTGCGTCATTTAAAATACTGAATGGAAATATGGGTAGGTACATCTGTATGAAGGATCGTATGAGTTACCACTCATATTTACCTATTAATAGTTATCTATTATATAAGACGGTAAAGGGTGACTGAGTGAATTAATTTCACGAGATGGTTAGTTTCCCTTTATATTATCGTCGTGTACAATACAAAACTTTATTTTATAGCAGAAGCCATATAAATCATTGTAAAACTTCTGACAAGTTTGAATTTAATTTATAGACGTCAAAAATAGTAAGCTTAGATTCTTAGATTCTACCGTAGCGATCGTTTCTATAGAAACAGAATTGTCATATGTTCTGAACGTCATTTTATAACGTGCATTTGAAATAAGAATGACAGTCTCATTAGAATGCACCCTCATTTGTTTCACTTTATCTACTCTTACGGTTAAAGTGATCACTTTATCTATCCTTACGGTTAAGGAACTGTTTAGCTTACTCATTCTAAACCTATTGAAATGTCATTTTAACATGCTATAAAATAAAAATCATAAGCTGCCATTTCAGACAATTGCCGAATAAGCCTTCGCACTATTGTGGGTTTTTCTCTTAGACCATATAGTATGTAAATGGACAGTGGAATTCCAATCACAACTAAAGTATGGTCAAGGACACCGCCTGGGTATGTGAGTTTAATTTCGGTTAATTTAAGGAGGGGAGTGAAATACTGGAGTGTGCGTAAGATCGAGGCCTTTTCGTCAAGTTCAAAACCAAGTTGCTGTCCTTTGAAAATTGAGTAGACGCCCGACTTTACGTTAAAATTTGATCCACAAAGAAAGCTCAGTACGGGGTAACCAAGAGTGCAGCCTAGTTAGAGTTGAAGCTTTTAAGGAAATTGTACGTAGCAGTTTGGAATAGCAGTTTGATCAATCGTGGGTTTGCGTTCAGCCCGTTTATTTATTTTATTTATTTATTATCCCTCCCTTGTTCTTGGCCCTCAACAGGCTTGCGCCCAATTACAGAGTGAGCCGCATAATGCTTTTTAGAGGTGCCTCTGCAGAAGGTCTTAAGTTAATTCAGATTTGCATACAATCAACGTTTCTGTAACCTGTTCAAAAGAAAAATTTAAGAAGAGCAAGCTTTGTGCGTTACGTCACGGTTACTTGCGTTGTTTCTTGTGGCTGGATTTTTATTGAGATTTCTAACTGAAAACTATAAAACCCGGTTGTAGAATGTCAGTTCAGTTTATAGTTAAATTGTGGGTTAAAGGATTTGATTGGCTAATATTTAACAAGTGGCCAATTGAATTTCTGAAATCTGCCAATTAAACTAAACTGAAGTTTAAACTGACATTTTACAACCGGGCCTTAGTAATCTAAGATTTCTTAATATAAATTTTGTTGATGCTTTGAGTCTGGAATTTTAAGTCAAAATTGAATTTTTTTATTGTGCCGGGATACTGATGTGCACTGGGAGAAATTTAATTAGTTAGGTTTGAGGGGTTTTGCGTATGGTTCACTTTGGTAGGGACAATTACACACAGCAATACATACAAACACTCATTTTTATTTATATAGATTACAGATACTTTGTTAAGAATTTCCTGATTTGTTTTTAATATCAATTGTTTTTTTCCGAGAAGTTTAGCCCAAACAACTTTTATAAAAGAAACTAAGCAGGCCGTTTTTTTTTCGATATTTAAGTAGAAAAGACCAATTAAAGTTCGTAAATAAGTTAAACTTACGCCTAAAAAGAAACCATTCGAAGTTAAAAAGTCTCTATGGTCCTATATTTGAAATTTGTGGACACCTGGAGGTCTAATTAGTCGTCGCGGCATCTTTTTCTGCTACCATCGGATTTTAGTGAAACATGTTTATGATGTGTTATAAACATTGCCAGATGGAAATATAACATTGTTAGGAAATTGTAATTAGGTATCTCTCTTATACTTCGGCCTTCTCTGCATTATATCAGATCAGTATACGTACCGCTACTTCATATTACATCTGACTCCATCACTTTCCCCTTTAATACCTAAGACATCAAAGGGTTGCTTTAAGTAGTGGAAACAGTCGTAAGCTGCAAATACATCATTAAGCTAATGGCAATTCAAGGGGCAAGATTTAATTTAGTATTGACTAAATGGTGAATGCCATTTCAAATACGCTCAATAATTTCACTTATCATTGTGATAAAGTGGAGCATGTGTGTCCTAAGCAACATTCTACCTCCATTAAAATTCGTTTTTTTTCCCACCCGAGTTTTACTCAGCAGTCATAAATATACTTTCAATTAAGCTAAAACAAGTGTGACATCTGTAACATAGGTGCATGTAACATTACGATGACTGGTTCTGACACATTATCTGAAAAATGTACATGGTAAGTCATTTGAATTCATATATGCGCTTCACTTTACTTTCTCTACTATATTTTCCTAGATATGATGGGGAAACTTGTTGCGGAGTAATTGCTTATTGATTCTGATACTGGATACTGGTTAGATAATAAATGAAAGATGCCTGTTGGAGCTCACACAAAATAAAACATTTGCAAGGTTGGCCGTTCATCATTATCGTTGATTTCAGAACTGTAATGGATCGATCAGTGAGATGAATAACAATATTTTTACAAGATCTGCTATTATACAAACGTTTACTAAGCTGCATTTCGAGATAGTCGGAGTGAGGGACGCTCAGAATTTTCACAGAGAAAAAACTTGGGCGTCTCGTCGATCCCAAACTACTCGCGAAGATTCAGCATCTTATTAATCACTGAAAAACCAATTGGTGGCTGTTGGACTAATACCTAGTTACATAAGTTTTTGTGGGACGATTTCCACATGAGACTTCCACAGGATATATGGCAGGCTCCTTCTACCAATTAGTTTCTCGTAATGCTTAACGTTGTTCAGTACTATGCTTAGAAAGCATGTCCGTATTTCTTTTAAATAACATAATAACGTGCACAGCCTATTCTTACAAAATTGTTTCACGAACTCCTGAATTATTAATAAGAACAATCCGTAGCGTTATAACTTCTACATTCTCGCAGTAATGATGAAAATATTCATGATATTCATGCATGTGAAACCTCCATATAAGAAGCATGTTATTTTACGGAAAATGTATTGGGTATAAAAATGAAAAGTCTATCTTGGAAGGTAGATACACCTTGCATCGCTCATTTTATTATTATTTCCGATGTTCTATACTATCATCATTGGCCAGACCAGATGTGCCTAATCTGCCACATCTTTCATAAATGTTTTTCGACTATTCACAAATCGCTTGGAGATAATAAAGTTTTGTTGGAGTGTACTGACAAACTATAAATTTATCAAGAAATTAAGAGAAATCATTAGCTAAAGGCACTTGATAGATTACCCACCGTCAATTTTCTATAAAAAATTACATTGCCATTCCGTTAAATAAATGGTTTACGATATGGCGGGTATTATGTTACATCATCGTTAGTGTATTAATGGTTTGAGACCACTTGAATGGAGCAACCAGAGAATTAAATATCCAGGAATTTATTGTGCGGAGCAACAGAAAAGTTTCATTAGAAAACGTAATCTGTTCATCAAAATTCTTTAAGGCGATGCCACAAACCTGTATGGCTCAGCTATATTTCCTTTGCTAAATGCCTAACAAAAATTTCAGATTGCAGCATGTGTCCCATCAAAATTAATCGCTTTCCGATATAATTAATCCGCAATTTACTAATCATCAGATGAAATGTATCCCATTAGAAAGAGACGCGCGCGTGTGTTCATCAATAACCAGACCTGGATGCTCTTGAGTGCCATCTAGCTACGTACAGCGAATTGGGTAAAATTAAGTACCCACATTACGAAAACCTTCCCCCAAAAACGTGATCTATTAGGCACGATGAATTATCGTCGACATTTGCTTAATTATCTTTAATCTTAAATTTCAAACAATCGGAT